ATCTCAGATGATTCGTCAGAAAACTCTGACCTGAGTGAATTAGAGGATTCAGGCAAAAAAAAGAGAAAAGGCACCCATCTTCAATTGAAGAGATCTTCACAGCAAATAACATTAAAGATTCAAAGTACCATAAAGCAGCTCTATAGCTTCATATGAATACAATCTATGAAATCTGGTGCTGGTATACATCACATAAATGGGGGAACTCAACGATACCAGAAACAGTAATACCTACATATATTAGAAACCACATTCCAAGGAGATAAAAGTAATAACTTCAAATTTAAATAGCAATTCACAGATAAAATCTATTTGTAAATATTTACAATGTGTATAAATGCAAATAATTTATAAATAAAAGAGTGCCACACGCGCCCGAAGATGGTCACATCATCGGTATAAAAAAAAAAACAAAAAAACTCTGTTTTAAATAATAAATCATTAGTTTGAAGCATATCATCAGGTTTAACATATTGTCGCAACCTATATACTTCACGTATTTGTTCTTGTTTCTGTTCTTTCATTTTTCCTGGTGTTTCTAATATCATTGCTTTCATTTTAGGGTGTGTTGCTAGCATTTTAAATATTTTTTAAGATAATTGTCCTTGTAGTAATAGTGCATGGACATCTTGTCCAGAGCCAAATATTGTTGCTTTAATTTTCTTTACAAATCTGTCTTTCTGTTTAATTTTTCTTTCTTTCATTACATTATTAATGTGTAAGAGATGTATTTCATCCTCATATTTATCTATGACTTGTTTGTAGTTATCAGGATATCTACCGCTTCCTGCTGCAAAATAGTGTTGCATATCAAAGCATAGTTTTACACATTCTATTTTATGTTTTCTTAGCAGTTGATTCAGGCTTTCATATTTTTACCACTTTGGTTAATAAAGTTTTGTCTATACTTCTCTTAATCTTTAAGAGATTTTCTATTTGCACTCCATGACATTTGTTAGCTGCTGAGTTTTCTAATAAGATCATGATATCAGTGTTTTTGGTTTGACTCAGTATAGCTTCCAAATTATCTTTAATTTGTTCTTCTTCTGGTACCGGTTTTAAATCTCTGTAGGATTTCGATCCTATATGCAATACGTATACTTTGCTTCCTATTGTATGTGCGTGCTGTATTTCTTCAATAATTCTTTTGATCTTCTAATTAAATAGTCCATCTGTCTTAGTATCTGCAATGCTTAAGCCCATTGATATGTGTATTATTATATACAGTTTTACTTGCAATAGTAACAGCTTAGCTTGTATAAGCTCGTCATTTTCTATGTTTGGTATTCCTTCCTTTAGGGTTACCCAATTTTTCATCATCTCATTTTTGGCATACAAGTTTGTTTCTTGGTACGTCATAAATGTTTGCACTATATTACTTTCTGTTCGAGTGATGGCTTCTTGGATTCCCTGCCAAGTGCCATCACACGTGACTTCTATTAGATATTTCTGATTTTGATTGATTTCATATTGTTTCTTAAATAAGTTGTATTGCTCCTTATTTAAGTTTATTGCATCATAATTAGGTATTTCATATGGGTTATGAATGTACACTTTTCTATTTTTGGTAAGCATTTTGATTTTTATATTTCTTGGTTTTGTTCTTTAAACGTTGGGTGCCTTTTCTCTTTTTTTTGCCTGAATCCTCTAATTCACTCAGGTCAGAGTTTTCTGACGAATCATCTGAGAT